TTCTCTGCGTTTACTATAACAATTGGAGTTTCTGCAATTTTAGCGACAATCGTTTTCGTCTCTGTAAACGGTCCCGTTCGTCTTTTATAAGAATAAAAGTATGACTCTTGCCTTGTAAACTACATGCGGGTTTCTCTAGGTTGAATAGTGCAAAAATACGTGCTATTAACGCAATTTCGGTCTAAATATCAGAAATAATAGTCAGGACATCCTGTATGTACCATAATTGAAGTTATTTCATATGTTTAAATCATTATTTGTCCTATTTAGTTTGTATGATAAATTTAAAACGGATACCTTAGGGAACAATTACCGAAACTTTTACGGGAGTTTAAAGTTTTATCTGGTCAGGTGTTAAAAAGTTGTTATTGGATAAGAATTAATTTGTTTTTCGACAAACTACACCACGTGCGAGATAAGCGATGCAAGTGTGTTATCAGTTCTGGCGACTTAGATGGAATTTCGAGTGCCGTCGGGAATAACGACGTTGATTTTATTAAAGGAGGCGGTTTTTGCTTAAATAGCAAGATGAAGAGTAAACGAGAATGTCTAGGGTTATTTTGAAAGAGCGCGTAATCGTCTGTGACGCTAATTTAATAACGGTAGTCGGCCGGCTATGCCATTTTTAAAAAGTTAAAAACGTAATCGTTCTCATGTTAGTTAAATAATGCGAAAACAAGTATAATGCTGTGCAAGACGTTTTTATACATAGAATTTCAGGTTTAAAAAGTTCCTGTTATCAAGAATGAAGGAATGGTGTAATAATACAAGAAAAGTCTTACCATCCGAGCAGCCACAAACTTGTGATAATGTGTAAAAGAATTATAAGTTTTTGATAAAATTAGTGGACATTTTGAGAAAACCAGGAGTTCTGGAGAAATGTGAAGAATATTTCTGGAAAATAGTGAGTCAATTTTTAAGGAAGTGCCGCTACTTATGTCGTGCAGAAATTGGGGAAATTCAAGGTAACGCAAGAAGTTTTGGTGAAATTAGAAGAAGTTCTGAGGAAGTCACAAAGGAGGCAGTTTGGAAAATAAGATAGAAACTCGTATAAAATTGGGGGCACTTACGTCAATACAAGAAAGTTTGGGGAAAATTAGAGTTAAATTTTGGGGACAATAGCCTGTCAGGATAAAGAGACATTTTTAGGAAGCACAAAAAAAAAGAGTAAAAATCCATCTTATAAAGTTACCTATGTGACAATGTGAACAGTGGAAAAATTTTAAATGCCAAGAAGCTCTGAGGAAGAGGAGGAAAAGCGAATACTGGAGAACAAAAGAGTGAATTACGTGTGACAAAAAAATTCTTGAAGAAAATATATCACCAAATGGAGGAAATCCGAGGAAAACAAATTTAAAAAAATAAAAGGCAACTGTTACTTACTTCGTCTAGAAATTGGAGTTATCTATGTCATTGTAAGAAATATAGATATATTGGATATATTTTTGGGTTGTAAAAATTTTTGGGAAACAGTGAGGAAATAGGAAATAAGTTTTATTGAAACAGAAGTGATTTTTTTAAAGAAATTGGAATTGTGTGAAACTTGAATTTTAAATTAATAAATTGAAGGAAATTTGGGGATTCAAGAATTTTTCGCCTATCACGCGTTTTTCATCATCGTTAAGGGTTGACTAGAATCCTGGTTTATGTAAACAAAAATTGTCTCAAATCGACCCGGAAAAAAAATTTTCTTATAAAATGTAGCCTGTAGAATCCACAATTTCAAACAGTTCCAAGATTGGGCTACTAGTTCAAAAGTGTCCGCCCTTTGAATTTTTTTTCGAAATTTGGTTTCTAGTCCTATAACTTTTGATTGAGAAGTCCGATCGAAAAAGTACGAATTGTTTTGGATTCTACGCACCAAAATTAATAAGAAAAAGTGTTTTCCCGAGGAATGTTGGTGCAGTCGATTTTTGGTAAAAAAGGAAGGTTATACACTGCCTTTTTTTGAGCCCCGAAAAAAAAATTGTCTCAGATCGACCCGGAAAAAAATTTTCTTATAGAATGTGGCCTGTAGAATCCATAATTTCAAACAGTTCCAAGATTGGGCTACTAGTTCAAAAGTTACAGCCCTTTGAATTTTCTTTCGAAATTGGTTTCTAGTCTATAACTTTTGATTGAGAAGTCTGATCGAAAAAGTACGAATTGTTTTGGATTCTACGCCCCAAAATTAATAAGAAAAAGTGTTTTCCCGAGAAATTTTGGTGTAGTCGATTTTTGGTAAAAAAACAGGACTAGAATAAATAAAAATGGGCCACCAGAAAATCTGATGTACTAAAAGAAATAGTCGGATCGGAGGAAAACTCGCCGATGTCTAGTCTGTTGCACGTGACGAAAGTAAAACCGAACGGTAATTGGGTGAAAGTTTCATTTGATGTAATTCAGCGAAACCGGTTAATGATTTATAAAATGATGATCTTATAATTACACCGCAATGTGGTCAGTTCTTATATCAAATTACAGACGATCCCGACTTAAATTGAGCGTAAAGCGTGTGGGCAATTAATCAAAAAATTTAATTAAAATTGGGATAATCAGTTTAACTATTCTGACAGGCGACCATGTGACTTTTCGGTCGGCGCGGCGGTCGGGGGGATGAAGTCTGATAAAGCGGGGATGTTTGTAACTTTTTATTTAAATTGGAGTATTAAACGTGGCGCCCTAATTTACTTTACAAATGCAATTTCGGATACAATATATCCCACGAAAATTAAAATGTCCGGCACTTCGACGAAAATTTAATTAACGTGATGATATCCCGATGTGGAATTTTAATTTATTATTGAAAAAATGTATATTAAGCGACAATAAAGCGAGCGTTGGGTATTTGATTTTAACGGTTTCGTTTTAATTAAGTCTTAACTTGAATATAATGTAGAAACTATGGGAAATTACCATTAAACACAGACATTTTTTTTAGGATTCTAAAGTTGCATTCGTTCAATATTCAAAGAAGAAGCATCCCTTAAACCCATCGCGACCGATTATTTATTATAAAAGACCTTGTACCTACCAATTTACTCAATGTTTGAAAATTCGGCAATAGGAGTGATAATAAAAAAGGCAATAAAGGAAGACTTATAAAATCGTTTCCGGGAAACTTGCGTATAAAAGGGAAATTTACGGAAAAATGTGTGCGTCTATATGTAAGTATATTTCACGTCGATCGAAAATAAATTGAAAAATTAATGTTAAAATAGAAAAGCGATTGTTTCCTCTAATTCAATATTTAATATGAGTATAGCATGCTAAATTTAAACGCCTTGAATTGGTTTCAAATTTGGCGAAGTTTTCTTTTGTGCGCACTACGGTCAATGATTATGTTATTTCCATTTTCATTTTGCCCATTTGTGATCTGTTTATGGGAAAATTGGAAAACAAATTGATATTTCTATAATTCTCGTTTAACTTCCAAAAATTCTAACCCGACAAAAAAACGAGTCAGGAAGACTCGCGTCTGAAACTGAAACTCGGGAATTAAAGTACTCGGCCTCAAATGGGCCTCGTACTTCAATTTTTCCTAGTCAGTAATGTCATTTTCCTGATTTTTATGTAAATAACTATTTCTATATTTCTATTGCTAACTTCACTGTCGACATCATATCACATTTCTAGGGATGGAGATGCTACTTCACTACAGTGAATTTTCTTGGGTAACAAAATCTATAAAAACAAACTTTTTAAAAAAGTTTCTTGACATATATTATGTAAGCGAACGGCGCAGTTTTCAGAGGAACTTAGTTTAAGGAACTTTCAAAGAAAAAATCGTCGGTTTGAGAAAATCCTTGGAATTCCCATATAAATTCCTGTTGTAAATCTTCCTGTTCATTTTCTTCAAGAATCCTTCTAGGAAATTTCTTGGACAGGTTTTTTCGCTAGCTTTATGGGGTTATCAATTTTTTAAAAACCTTTTTTGGAATAAAAAGAAAGTTTTAGATAGTCTTCTTAGAAATCTCTTTAAAAATTTGGCCTTTCTCTTGGAAGCTATTTGTGAACCTTATAACCTCTTTTTAAGACTTACTTGATTATATTATTTGCCACCCTCAAGAACTTGTTAGGAACCTGAGAAATTTCTTCCATACTAATATTTTTTTAGAAAGAACCTTAATGGAAAAAGGAGAATGATTTTTTAGTTATTGCCAATTGGCAAAACCTTTACAAAAATTTACATTACATTACACTCGATATTATATTATATTTTAATTTCTTCTCTTTTTTCTAACCCTTCTTCATACACCTCTCTCCTCTCCACCCTCATCCAATATTTCTCTCCTACTTTCTACCTCTTTTCACTCTATTATTAGGTGATCAATATCTCTCCTTTTTCGCAGAATCCCTTCCTTTCTGTTCTTTCCACATCTCCCTTCCTCTCTTCTCGTTTGCACATCGGAACCTTGCAATTATTTTAATGTTTTTCTTTCCCTACGATAGATACTTCGGCACACTCTCCCTGCACCTTCCATTTCCTCTTGATTCATTCTTTCCATCCCCATACATCCGTTCAATACATCAACACACCTTGCATCAAATAGGTGTTTAATTGATCTGGAAACATTTTCAAAATTCCTCTCTCCTATTCCCCACACCGGTCAAATTCCCTTGTTTGTGCATTTGCCCCATTATTTCTTTGCATTTGGTATCCTAGGTATTTAAATTATCTCACTACCCCTACCCTATCCTTCGTCCACTTCCATTCTATCACCCTTTTCCTACTTCCGTCCTTCTCAAATCTGATCATCTTCAATTTTTCAACATTTAATTCAATTTTCTTTCCCATTACCTCTCTATTGATTTCCTTCATCTGTGTCTCTTCTGTTGTAGTGTCACCCGCGTCAGGGACCATATTTTCCTTCTTCCCATCACGATTCCTCTACTCTGACCCTGTCTTAATATTATCTCCATATACCTTATGCAGAAATTAAATTAAATAAGACTGGAGTGGGCATCCCTGTCTCAATCCTTTTATATTCTAGAACACTTCCCTCCTATCCTTACCCTACGACTGGTCTTTATCTAGCTCCTTAATTCCGTTCTTTAAACGTTTATCTATTTTTCCATCCTCATCATTTCCCATACTCTTTCCCTTTTGACTCCGCTTTTCCAATTCCTTTTCCATCATCCTGTGTAATACGTATATACAGTCGGCGATCACGTCCTTTTTCTAAAGCCCATTTGTGTTTTCTCCAACATCCTCTTCTCTTCCATTTCTGTTTCCATCTTGCATTCAGTACCGTCATTATCCAGATTCCCCTATAATTTCCCATACAGTGCTTTGTCGCATCTGTTGTAAATCAGCACTATTATCATCACTTCCTTTCATTCTTTCGGTAGTCTATCTGTAACGAGAATCCATGCCTCATTTCCCTGCCACCTACCTTATCTTCAGTCTCTTTAATTGTTCCCTTCATAAAGTGCTGTTTCCTGTCCTCTATTTGTATTTCTCTCCCTTTTTCTGTTTACCATCTTCCAAAAGTTCTTCTCTGTTTTTATTTTCCTAATTTCTTTTTCATCTTTTTTCCTTACATATCTCTCTCTTTGTCCGTCTCTCCATCATTGTTCTGTATCTGTTTCGTTCTTCTATACAATCTTTGTCGCACCACTCACTTTTTTTATCTCTTCGTTCTTTTTCCCTTTTCATACTCGCTTTCATACTTTTCTCTTCTGTGCTCTCTTCTATTTATTATACTTGCTCTCTAATCTTCTTCTATCTAGAATCCTCCACAGTGTCTCTTGTCAATAATTGTATCTCCATTCGCATTTGAGTTTTTCCATTTCTTGCTCTTTTTATCTCCACGATTTTTCCGTTTATTAGTACATATGTAATCAATTACCGACCTCCCTCTCCCTCCCATGTATGTGTATTGCCCATCCCTATCTCCCTCCATGTTTCCGTTCTTCAACCTCTCTTTTGTGTTCATTCCAGTTGCATTTATTTATCCTGTGTTTTTCTTCCCATATCGACCCAACTTCCTTTATTCCCTATTCTGGCATTTAAATCTTCCACCAGTATTAGCCTTTTCTAATTTATTTTTTAACTCATTCCTTCTGCTATATATCGTTATCACACTCATCCTCCTCTTCACTTCAATTCGTCTTTCCTTCTTCCTGTTTCGTTTCATTTCCCCATTCGCTTATATCTTTTTTACCCCTGTTAAAATGCCTCCTTTTGCTCTTTTCTGTATGTTTTTCCTATTTGCATATTGGTTCTTCCATCTGTCTTCAGTCGGTAACCTATTCTTTATTTTGTCCCAATTCTTTTCTTCTATCCATCATATCCTCTTACAAACTCCTAAAATTGTACTTTTTTACTTGCTAGCTCCGCCACCAAAACAACATCTTCATGTTGCTCATCCAATCATGGCCCTTTTCATTACCCTTTGCTTTTTTCAATCGCCATATTCTATGCTCACAAATAAGTCCTATTTTTTTAAAATGGTAATATTCATTTTGGTCTTTCAACTAGTGAAACGCATTGTAAATTTAGTCCACAGGAAGTACCCACAATCTCCCTCCGATTTATTCCCCGGAAAATTGTAAAATTCATTTATTTTATGGCCTTTAAAATTCTACACTTAAAAGTGAGAGTGGGTACTTGGGGATGTTGAGGTGAATGCTAAAACTAAAGTAAACTTTTCATTATTAAACGTCCCTCTAACTTGTTTTGAAATGAAAGCCCTGTATATTGGGCAATGTAACGGACACAATGAGCGCAAATCCAAATGGCAGAAACTTTTCCGTTCTCGGGTTTGGTGAAGCCAATGCATACGTAACCTTATGCAATCTGTTTCATCACAAACCGCTAAAAGAACAACGGCATAATTAGAATGAATCGCAATAAGCGCAAGCAATTTCAGAAACCTTTCATAAAAGCATAACGAAATTTAGAAGATACCTAGAAGTTGTTTGATCATTCCAGCAAATTGGATACCGGAAATTTACATTAACATCAAAATTAGGTTACGCGTATTGACTATAAATGGCAGAGAATAAAGGCATGTACAAATTACAGTAATAATATGAATACTAATTATATTTACTCAACCATCTGAATATAATATTGTTTATTTAGGGAGATGAGAAAATTTCTTATTTAGCGGTAATTTTTCACTAAAATTGCTTTGTGTTGTATTTCGAACGAATATTTCTTGGCTAATTCTTAGATGTTTAGTCTAAATATCAAAATGAACAGCACGAGTTTCCCTCTAAATTTCCTTTTGTTATTCCTTTAAGTATAATTTCTTATTTTCTTTGATATCAATGCAATAGAGATTGAATTTTTATTTTGTAAAAGGGTCGAGAAACGTTATTTTCCTCGTAAAATCAAATGAGAGGTACCGTATTGACATTTGACTTGTGCTCCAAGAATTCTAAAAAAAACTGAAACCCTTGGGTAATTGAACATTTTCCTGTTATATATTGTCATTTTTTTTTATCTTACATCATAAAATCTCGACGTTATTGAAACCAAACTCCGAAAGAAATGGGGCTTTGTAAATAATGCAGATACGCTTTCGGTTGCGAGGGGTTGAAAATTTCAGTTTTAATGCGAAAACTTCGACTGCTGCTGTTCGTAGTATGTGTACGGATTTACTGGGCAATTAAATCAAAGGCGGGTGGCGGGAATGGCACGAGTTTGTTCGTCCAGCCTAAAATAATGATGATCGGATAATAATAATGATTTAAATAATTGCAATTGAAAATTCCACTCACTTATTTCTGTCCCCTTGAATTGCATATTAATTATGGATGCTAAGCAAAGACACCGAGGATGCTTATTCGACAATTCTACGAACGCTCGCGAATATTCTAGAATGTTCTCGAACAAACACGTCATATTTCCCAGAAAGAGTGCATCACATCCGCTTTCGTTTCTTATCGCGATGACTTTTATGAGGCCTCGATGTCTATCGGGATTTCTAGGACTACATTACTATTTCATACGTTTATTACACATTGGACAATTACCATAGCAACATAAAGCTACACCAACTTGACTTCTAAAATAATTTTCTTGCGAAATAAAACTTGCGACCATGTAAATCCCCGATAATTTTTTCTCGTATTCATTTTTGATGATCCATT